AAAGAGCAGTTTTGGCCAGAGTGACGCATGCTCTGAGTCACACAATGGGGAAGAGGTCATGACACTGCTCGGGAATCTACTTTGCTTTGGCTCCCTGTCAGCACAGCTAGGGGACTCATACCTGTCATGACACAATGTTCACGTGTTGCAAGATGGAGACAATAGATCCAGTTTAGTCCCCTGCATCCCTCAGGACACGTACTCAGCCAGCTAAGTTTGTAAAAAACATGCTTGCACACAGCCTCACGATTTGCTCTGTCTGGCACTCCAGGCAGCAGACAACATACACATAGGCCTTTATGCCAGCCTATTTTCTTCTAGAGTTTGAAACTCAACTGATGAACACCTCTTCAAATTGATACTCAGCTTCATTCCCTGTTATCCAAGCATTTCATCAAAGGGCACTTACCTACAAAGCAGACACCTCAACCCATGGCCAGACATGCCACATACCAAAGCCTTTTGAAAACAAGGAACCAAAACTACATTTATCTGTTCATAGTGCAGGGGTGACGGCCATAATTTTATATCTGCAATATTTTGCAAATTCTAAAAGGCTTAAATGTCATAAAATGATGATGCCATTAATTACTGAAATGCACTTAGCCCTAGGGTGCAACACTGGGTAGTACCCCCTCTTCCACCATGGACGGGGTGTCTGTTGCAGCCCCAGCCCTGCATTTCTCAGGACATGGGTTTTCCCAGGAAACTGTTCATATGTGTATTGATTATCAACCCAGAAGGGATCTCTCTGGTCATTCGTCCCTCTGCCCTCCTGCAAAATGGAGATCATACAGCCTACCTCCATGACCTCTTCAAACTGCAACATAAAAAAGGAAAAACAAAACCCCATGAAGATATCTCACAATGAAGCAGCTGTTGCAGCTCTTTGATTGGCTGCTCTGCGAACAGAGCTTCATTTCTAGACTAAGCATGTCTGTCTAAAACTGCCAGGTGCAAAGCTCCTCTCCTGCACTGAAAGCTGGGCAGAGCAGCCCTCCTTCAGCAGCTTCGGTTCCTCACACAGGAAACCTCTCACCTCTGGACCATGACTATGTCACCATGTACCTCCATGAAGGGTCACTGATCAGACACAGGACAACTCAGCTGCTGCTACAAGTCACAAGATGAAGGACTACAGTCACTGGGAACAGGCTGGGACCACTGTCCCAAACAAGGGGAAACATTTGTACGGCCACCAACCAGGTGCTACACATGCAGGTTAAGGATGCTACATGAGAAACTGAGTTTAGTACCACAGGTTGAAGACAAGTGGGAGGAAGGAGCTTGAAGGAGCTCTCCCACTTTTAGATTACAACTCTGACCATAGTGCTGACAAATCCTCTGACTTGGCTGGAGCAGCAGCACAAGGAGCTGCTGACAAAAACAAGACAGGGCAGGAGAGCCCCTGCATGGCCTACTGGCACTGCCAGGGAGTGGGGGGATCTGTGCAGCCACTGGGGACACAGGAGGTAACAATGTGCCATGGGGGCTGGCTGGGCAAGAGGACCCTACGCCTGGTTCCCAGTCTGCTCTGAGGTCATTTCCCTTTTAGTAATGGACTCAAGACAGGGAGTTTTAAGCTCTCACAATGGCCATGACATCCTTTGTTATTTTGGTCTTTTGCTCTGTCCTCCTGGAAGGGGACTCCCAGAAGAAAGGGGGAGTTCCTGCAGGGGCAACCTTAGCCTGGCATGTCCTGCCTCTCTTGGGCCCTTCTACAGTCAGGAGTGAGGGAGAAAAATCTCCAGATCCTTCTGGAGAGCATTGTCTCTCCCCCCAGGTCCTTCCGGAGAGTACTGGCTTAGCCTGACAGAAATACCTGTGGTGCGACAGAGAGGTCCTGATGTTAGGATGCCCAGCAAGGACCCTCAGGCTGCACCAGCTGTGCAATGCCAAGTCTATTGCTCTCACAAGAAACTGGTCTGAGGGATCCAGTTCAGCTTCAAACCATGGCAGCAATGGCAAATTGCTCAGGTAAAGTCTGCAAGTAGCCCTGGGGCTGCCTTAGCTTATGGTGGGCTATGCAGGTACAGGCCAAGAAACAGAATGGAGTTTGCTTGAAGACACTTCTGTCTTCCACCTCCAAGAGAAGAAAACAGGCCTATCATTTACAAGAAGAGGAAAAGCCTTATATTGCTCTGAGAATGAGCAGGATACCACCCAGCTTTCCTCTGCTGAAAGGATTTGGCCATCATAGTCTTGAAAGTAGTGTTAAAAAAAAACCAAAACAACAAAAAACACCCAACAAATAAAACAAAACAAAAAAAAAAACAAAAAAAAAAAGAGGGAAAAGAAAAAGCAAGTTGATAATAAAATACAGGGGCAACCTGGGAATTCAGTTCTAAAAGCCCATGATAAAAAACCTCCAGCTGAGAGCTGACCTCTACATTACATTCCCCAGTGCTCTGCCTCGTCTTCCCTTAAATGCATGGGGCACAGGCCTTCTGTCACTTCTTTGGCAAGCCTGCTAAGAGTCTTAGAGGTTTTACTCTGAGGAAGCTTTTCCTTCACATTCAGCTTAAATGTGCCATTTCTTGAAGTCATCCCCTTGTCTTTTATACTCTAGCAAGCAAAACAAGTGTAAATTAAATGGAAGACACATGAAATCTTTATAAAGCCCTGTGTCCCTTAGCATGAAAGTTCCTTCTCTTTGGAGAGTGGAACGGGTCTTTACTCTGTGCTGTACTTTTCTCCATCAGAAAATGAAGAAGAATATAAATTTTCCTCATGACTTGAATTTAGCTTCATCAGCAGCCCCCTGCTGATGTAATTCAACCCAACAAGATTTTTCTTATTTTTTTTTCCTGGTGAGCTGCTGCCTCTTTTCCATTCCTTCCATCAATTCAGGCATGGAAAACAAGGCAGGAATTAGACAGATAGAACTTATTGTCTAAAAGCTGCAACTTCAGACCAGGCAGAAATAACATTTAAAATTTAAAAAGCAAATTTTATCAAGCCTTTTCCTCCCCAGAGACTGCCACAAAAATATTCCCTGTTTGTCGCTGAGAATGAGCCATTTTTCTCTTTCATTTCTGCTTTCTGTCACATATTTCATTTTGGCTGCCCCTTCTGTCTTTCAGCTAGGACCTAGGCTGCTAATGCAGAATCACAGATAACTCAACAACAAAATGCCTGTATTATCTTTTTTTTTTTTTTTTCCTTTTCTTTTTTTCTAGTCTGCCAGGTAATTGCAAGCCTAAAAGCTTTCACATATTTACCACAGAAACATGTCTCTCCTGGAGGACAGGACTGTCATCAGGTAGGATATTTCATTTAATAAGCCTCTTCGAAGGTATAAACTAGGATTGGGTGGGTTTTTTTGGCCTTCTTCAGAGCAAAGGACAAGAAGATAAAAATCAGCTGCTTTACTGCTACACTGTCAAAGTTTCTGTTCCTGTGAAAATTAACTCTTCCCAAGCTTGGAGCTCAGGTGTTCTTTGCCACTGTGATGTTTATGAAGTCTGAAAAGGGTCTGTTATCAATTAAAATCATTTTTTTGTCCCCAGTCCTCGCCATGTATACAACAGATTTCTTTCCTATTTACAAACAGAGCAACTACCCTACTTTTTTGTAACCCATCTGATGAGCTGTGGATGCTGCCAGGACTGATTTTCATTAAATCAGTCATCAAGAAGGATCACATTTTCCCTCTTTGCCCCTGCTTCACAGAATTACAACAATAAAAACATGGCATGAATATTTCTAAATTCAGCTGTCATCTAAAGACAAATTCCCTCCCAACCCCTGTTTCCCCCTAACCCTGAGGAAGCAGTATAACTGCTATTTTCTGTCCTTGGGATGTTGAATTAAGCTGACTGGTACCAAAGAGAGGGTCTGAGGAGAACATCTACAGAGAGTTTCTGTCTTGTAGTCAAAACATAGAGAAAGGATGACCTGCCAGGGGTCATGAAAAGAAGCTGCTTTGCTGAAACTGTTTGGCAGAGGCATACAGCTGGCTCATTTGTCACTTCAGGTGCATCTACAAAGAGGTCAGAACTCCAGCCTAGTAAGTAACATACCTGTAGTTAAAAGCACTGTGAGTAGAAATTAGAATCTTCCTGGTTGGAAGGCAATTTGAAGATCATCAAGTCCAACCATAACCTAAATCTCCCTACCATAACCTGATTTACCTGATATAGTACTTAAATTATGTCGCTAAGCACTATATCTATACTTCTTTTAAACACTTCCAGGGATGGTGACTCCAACACCTCCTTGGGCAGCCTGTTCCACTGTCCAGTCACTCTTTCGGCAAAGAAATTATTTCCAATATCCAGTCTATACCTCCCCTGCCATGACAGTCCAGAACAGGTACTCAGTCCTACACCAACCTACTGACAGCACTCATTGATCCCTACAAACAGACTGATCCCTTCCTAAATGGAGAAAGGTCTTTCCACCCTGGCCAGGCTCCTCACTCAGCTGGAGCAGAGCCAATGGGAACCAGTCAAAATATTCTCATTGCTTCTAGCAGGCTCCACAGCCAGTGTGAAAACTACTCCTTGACAAAGCACCTTCTGCATCCAGTTTTCCTGTGGGCTACTTTATTCTTGTAAAGTCTCTGGTCTCACATATGAAGAAAGAGTGGAAGACACAGCTGAATATGGACTGATTGTTTAGGTTCAAGTCTTCCTGAAACCAAGGATCTACTTGCATTTACTTGGAAAGGAAACATGGAATATCCAGATCCATCCTCTCATCTGTAAACAGTCCCAGAGAAAACAAAGTACTGACAGATGTGAAAGGCTTTCTAAATTGTAACTGGCAAACTCTCTTTTTACAACATGTTATGGTAATTTACAAATTTACAACGATTTTCAATCACTAATCAAACTCCAAGAGGTCAGTATACCATTTTTTCTGTCACCAACAAGCTACTTTCAGAGCTATCCCAGTACAGGATTAAGGGATGACTCTCATTCATTTAGAGGAGTGTAAGAGAATTCCCACAGGTAAAATATTTCTCCTAGTAACATTAAATGAGCTCAGTCTCTTACCTGTAATATCTGGATTGAAGGTAGGTAGAACACACAGCTTTAGACACATGGCTAGCTGAACCAAAGTCTATGACCTTGACCCTATATGGCTGTCGGGATGGATCCACCAACATGATGTTCTCTGGTTTGAGATCTGCATGAATCAGTCCAAGGCTTTTCAGCTTCATTAGGGCAGTTGCTACCTGCTGGAGAATTGGTCGAATGTACTTAAGGGGCAAGGGACTAAACTTGTTTTGTTTCAGGAAATCATAGAGGTTCTGCTCCAACATTTCAAAGACCAAGCATGTGTGATTTTTGTGCTGGAAGCACTCGTATGCACGGACAAAGTTGTAGTCATCTGCACTTTCTGTGCTCAGCCGAGCCAGGATGCTCACTTCAATCTGGCCTTGCCGGGCATAGGAAGGATGGTTCTTTAGGATCTTGATGGCCACAATCTCATTAGTGCCACGTTTCCAGCATTTGACTACTTGCCCAAAGGTTCCACGGCCGAGAAACTCTAACACTTCGTACGTATTGGTCATGGAACAGAGCACCTCATGTTGTACCAGCTGGTAATCCCCTTCGCTGTTGGAGCCACTGTTTTTGGAGGTGGCCGTGGAGGTGGTGGCAGTAGCTACAGTGGCCCCACTGGCATTGTTCTGAATCATTGGTGGATGCTCTTCAATAATTTGCACGCTGCTTGTGTTCTCAATCTCCTCACTCTTGCGCTTAAGTCCACATTTTTGGTAGGTGTCCAGAAGGCTCACAGTGCTGCGACGCATCAGGTTGTGTGGCCCGCCCAGTGTTTGCCCAGACACTGCAACCACACCAGAAGTGCTGTTGGCGGATGTCACCACGATGTGCCCTGTGCTTGCTGGGAAGATGATGGTCTGTTCGTAAGGGATGCTTGGATTGGGGATCTGCAGGGAGGTGTTGACGGCTGCGGCGGCTGCTTGGGAGGACTGCACGTTCTTGCTCTGGCTGTAGACTTTGCTGTGTGTGCCGTACCCAGTCATATCCCAGTTCGAACTCGGCTCCACTTTCAGTTTCTTCACGCTACAGAAGGCACTTGACTGAAGGGTGTGAGGAGAGAAAACTTGCACATGCGAGGCCATACCTGCAATACAACATCAGAGTGAAACCACAGTGTCAAGATGCCTTCCCCAGCTTTTTTCATTTGTTCAGTATCAGGAAGGGAAAACGGCATATAGACTTCAGACACAGCATGCACACACACCTGCACAGATATCAAGTGACTCCAGAAATATGTATTCAAGACAAATAAAATACTATGCTCTAACATAAATAATTACTCCTGGTTGAACTATACTAACAATAACAAAGATTCCTCCTCTCTTGCTCTCCTCTTTCTCATTTTTAATAACCAGGATATTAATGTCATTTTTACCTCCTCTGCCTAAAGAGATGTCTATGCCCACTGTCTCCAGAAATGTATCTAGCTCTTTGGAAGAACTGGTGTCAAATAATGCAAAGTATCCTGCCTATGGAGGCCAAATCTCAAATTCTCAGGCTCATCCAGTACTACACAGTTTTGTGGACCTGACTTAAGCCCTTTGTTTATTCCCATAAAAAACACAGTGTAGCTTCTGGCCTGCAGAGCCAGGATGGGACCAGGAGATGATACACTGTGACAAAATGGAAGTGCGTGGACAAGGTTGTGGAGCCAGGACAGAAGCAGCAGCATACTTCAGGTTGCTTGCCAAGTCTGCCTGTGTGAATTGTGCACAATGCTGGTCTGTGCTCAGGGACGCTGGAGATGGGAGTTACACAACGTGAGCTTCCCTATGTGCTCTCAGTTCTCCCAGATTTATAAAATTGTGTTCATCTATTCCTATTCACAGTGACAATACTATCACTGGAAAGCAGATCCCCTGGAAATGAATGAGTTTCTTCATGAAGCAATGTACACATTAGCATGTGGCAGAACTAGGTGCTAATATAACCTCACTTCTTACGAAAAGACGAAAACCTTTTTTACTGCAAGCTGCTTTGGTTCTAGAAGAGTTAATGATCTTTTACATCTTTATTAAAAAAAAAAGCAAACAAGCCACCAAATAACCCACAACATGGCAACCAAGTGAAAACAAAGTATCACTGAGACAGATTTACTGGAGGATCCTGAGTAATATTCCACTAAAACAGAATATGTTCCTATTCATGAAAAGAAAGAGAAGAGAAGAGAAGAGAAGAGAAGAGAAGAGAAGAGAAGAGAAGAGAAAAGAAAAGAAAAGAAGAAAGAAAGAAAAGAAAAGAAGAGAAAAGAAAAGAAAAGAAAAGAAAAGAAAAGAAAAGAAAAGAAAAGAAAAGAAAAGAAAAGAAAAGAAAAGAAAAGAAAAGAAAAGAAAAGAAAAGAGATGGTCCACAGAGAAGAGGATATCTAAGTTTTGCTGTCAGCCTTCCCTGCCCAGAGTAGGGGTGGTACTGCAGCAGCAAAAGTATCGTGAACAGCACAAATCTATGGTGATTCCTGGGGAAGGAGTCAGAGCCTGGCAGGAGTTAAAGCAGAAAGCCACAGCCTCCTTCAGCCTTCTATCTGTTGTCAGTGTTTCTTTTTAATAAACCAGAATGACGACGGAAGAAAAAGACAATATGCTGAGCTGGCACTGTTGCAGAATTATTAAGCACAAACGTAACCTTGACTTGTTTTCAACTTTAAAAAAATTAAAAGCTGAATGAATGCTTTAGTGACAAAACCACAACAAACATGGATGACTTCTTCATACAGAGACCTCAGAGTACCTAACACTTAGCTCTCTTGCCTGAAAGAAACCCCTTCTCCACTAGTCAGTGCTGCTCTTTGGAAGACTCTGGAGCTCCTATGTACACATGTGCACTCACACACATGCATGCATAAACATGTACACCCATATATAAAAATATTAACGTTACTCCACGCTTTCAAAGCTGAGTAGCATGATCAAGCAACCACACCTAAACACACCCACCCAACACCCATTTTCCAGTAAAATCCCATCAGCCCAGGACCTGCTCAGGAGAGGGGTGCTGTGGCAAGCCAAAAAACACCGTGTAGCTGCACACAAGTAATCAGTAAAGCAATCACCCCAGTTTGCTTCAACACTCCCACCTTCTTCCCTGCACAATGAGGGATTTGTGCAGACAGGGCAGACACAGAAGAAATAAGGCATGTTCCTTTCAGGACATATGGGGAAACCCTCACCCCTGCTGAAACATGCAACACAAATACCTACTAACCCCGCTGAAGCAATGAAGCTCTGCAAACTGCAGTGGTCCCTCCTTTGCAGACATGCCCCCCATCTTTCATGTGATTTTTTATGCTGTTTGCTGCCATTCATCTTAACTCCCCCTCTACCAACCTCCTTGGCAGGAATTTCCAAGGTCCCTGTGACTGGGTCCTTGGACTCCCTCAGCTCCCTGCCTCTCTTTAAGTGCCTTCTCTCCTATCCCCTTTCCACAGGGTGATGATGTTGCCACAAATGCCACAGCACGCAGCACACCGTGAGCTCAGAGAACCACAGCAATATTACTCAGCTTGTCATTCCGGACACAAATACCGTATCTGAGGGAGCCCAAACTGTGTTTGTTTTTCCACTGATTAAGAAGAGTCACGATGTTCCTTCTAGTACAGTACCAACCTGCCTGGAGAGTGGGGTTGGTTTGATATATGTTTTCCCCCTGGACGTGAATAATAAAGCAGATGCAATCGGTAACATATTGTGGACCTAGCAGAGGTGTAATTTATAGCTTGATGGCTTTCATTCCATGGTGTGCTTGAGCAGTATCTCTTCATACAAAATAAAAAGGGGAAAAAAACCCCAATCGATGTAGAAAAAGGAGAGAGGTTCTTCTCACGTGCTTTTCTAAAAATAGCATCAGAAGACCCAGGCACCCCAAATTAAAGTCAGAGATGTGAAGTGCAGCAGCTGCAACTTTCTCAGCGCTGCTGTAAAAATCGGGATAATCGCCACCATTAAGAAACAGACTTTCAACTGGTGCAAACTGGCAGAGCTCCAGTTGCTATCAGCTGACGCTAAAAACAAGGTCAGCAGTCACTCAATGTTGTCAACGTCAGATGGCCGGCCGCCTGTGCCCCTTGGTGAAATGAGTTGTTGTTAGGGATGGCTTCCACATCAACAACCAGCCCCTTGCTTTTCCCGCAACACTGCTGGCAGCCTCAGCAGGGGGACAGGAACAGAGGACACTGATCCACCCTGGTACCCAAAAATGAAGCGGGCGGAGGAAGCTGGGTTGTCTTGTGGTTAAAGGGAGGACTTTGGACTCCTCCGCCACCACCTCCACCCTCCTCAAGAGTTTTTATCTCATCACATGAAAAATATTTTTTTCCCCTAAAAAAAAAGAAGCATGAAATACTCTTCTGTTCATCCAAAATTATTTTCTCACATTTGAGGTTTTAGGGACACAGGTTGTAAGGAGAATAACTCACCCAGCTCTTCAGCATACTCCAATATCAAGAAATCACAGGCTGATTGACAGCTTGGTGATGGGAAAAGAAGGCTTCTGCAGCAAAGTAATTTTTATTGCAAATTTGCCTGTGCAGCTAATGTGAGAAAAACACAACCCTAAATTTCCTGAGGACACTATCAAATTGAGCTAGTGGCATGTTTGTTGTTGTTGTGGGGTTTCTTTCCATGAAGAATCTTCACTATATGGCAGTATCAGAAATAACAAGAAATGTGAATAAAAGTTAGATGGTTTGCTGCAGGGATCACATTCCTCAGTACAGCCTATAATGCCATTTACAACTTCAGCCTTTTGATTACTTAGGCTGACAGTATCTTGCCATGAAGTCCATGAAATAAAAAAAGCTGGCAGTAATTGGGTGACTCATGCCAGCCCAGCCCTGTGACACTGATGCCCTCTGAGCATCCCCCAGAGCCACTCCTGGAATCTTGGAGAGAAGCTATAAGCCACGGAGGGATGGCAAACAGACTGTTTCACTTGGGAAAAGTCCTCTTAAACCCAAGCTCATACGTCTGCCTAGAAGCCTCCTGTGGGAGGCTGGGTCTGCCCCTCTCGCTGCCTCCCTTTGCTCCAGGAAGATCCTAGCAGACACCTTGCCATGTTTTGTAGGGGATGGCCCAAGGCTGGCCCGTCTCCTCACCTTTCTCTCTCTGTCAGATGCAGAGGGAATGAGGATGCTCAGGACAATTATCACCTGTGTTCCTGAAAAAAAAAAAAAAAAAGCCAAATCCTGGCTCAGCACCCCCATCTGCACTAGCAAAAGCTTTTCTGAACTAAGACAAGTGTCAACACAGGCTGAGCTCAGGTTTGGTCCCTGTCTTGGCAGGAGTGCAGGGCAGCCCCCCACAGCCCCAATCAGCAAGCCAGGTTGCAGCCAGGATTCTGCAACAGCTAAATACAAGCCCTGAAGAGTGCAGGTCTAATTTTTATGTCAGCCCTGCACGTGGTGAGTCTCTGGGCTGGGAGCAGAGTCAAGGTTGGGCACCACGCATTAAATAAAATTGATAGTTCCTTTCTTTAATAATGAATTTTAGTGCAGCCATTTAAAGCTCTCACACAATTGACAGTAACTGGATTTAATGGGGCCTCCCCTGTCCTTGATACGACTCACATAACTCCCTGTAGCATCCACATGAGCTGAAGTATGTAGTGTGCAGCCAGGGGACAATGTTAAAACAGCCTTAATTACTTTTATTAAAAGACTTCATGTTTGTTGGTTTTTTTGTGGTTGTTTGGTTTTGGTTTTTTTTTCCTGAGAACTCCTCCCACGTCAGTTTTTACTTCATAACAATTTAGCAAGTGCTATTTACAATTCAGATGGCCCTCTGCTGCATGCATACACAACTCACGCAGCCGCCTCACTTGTACTTCCAACAGGTTTCAGGAAAGCAAATTAGGTAAAGTTCTCCTCTCCACCCACCTCACTCCAAAGGGAAAAAAATACACTTTGGGGGCTAAAGAAAGGACTGTTCGAAAGTCACTGTTGTTTTCTTCTGCTTTACTCCTAGCACTTTCTGCTGATTTATAAACTTGGCCTTTGTAGTAGCAAGAGACCAAGCCCCTGCCCCATATTAAGTAGGCAGTAAGACCTTTTGCAGTACCTGCAGAGCTGCCAGTGCACTGTAACCAGAGG